TGTTATCTTTGCCAAAACATGTTCTTTTATTCCTTTTTACTTGAAGGTCAAATGCCATTTAAAGAGTTTTTAGAGATCTTCTTAATTGTGTTAGAAACGAAGCCCAATACCTGTCAGCATCATGAATACTCTTAGCTATATTAGTTATTAAGCTTGCCTTTTCAGGAAGTGAGATAAGCATCTGACCTATGAGTTTCCCAAGCTCTAGCTATTTCATACTAATACAATAATCACAAAAATAACTAAAGGCTTACTATGGCATATTTCCAATGCCAAAATACAAAGGATTTAACAAAATCATTAATCAGGAGTACTTGCTACACCTTTAATATAAAATTTATGTTTTTCACTGTCTTTGAACATCAATATTGCTAAGTATTCTATGGCTAGCTAGCTCAAGAATCATGCTTGTTAAATTGATTTTACTTGAATCCAAGGCAGATATCTTGCATAGAATGCCATCCGATGCATGGTACTCCTTTCAAAGGGTAGTAAATGTGAATGGGACTCTAAGAAGGGGGAGTAAATGTGAATGGGTCTCTAAGAAAGGGTAGTAAATGTGAATGGGTCTCTAAGTATCTCTTTTTAAAAAAATAAGATACTAGTTAAATAACAAGCAACATTTTTTTTTTCTCTTCTTATGTACTTTAAAAATTAAATTTATTGGGGTAACATTGGTTAATAAAATTATATAGGTTTCAAGTGTACAATTCAATAATACATCATCTGTATATTGTTCACCACTTTATGTACTCTTAATTGGCAATTATTTAAGACATAAATATCTAAACTAAAAATATACTGAGTCTTACTAGTGTTTTAAATAGTATATCGAATATTTACCATTTAAGTAGCTGTTAACTGAACAGTTACTGAAGGATACTTACCTGAAATAAAGTTATAAGAGGTAATTTTTTAGGTACTAAATTATATTGTTTTTCAAATCCTAGTGAACAGTCTTAATCTTAACAGAGATTTCATTACTCTGTCATCCTGTGGCCATTACAGATCAAAGTTTCATGTGTTATGAACTGCCATTCTAGTACACAGTCAAGCTGTGAAATGATTATCAATATGGAACTGTAGATCAGTTGTAAAGTTGTAAAGCTGTCAAGGACCTGAGTTTAGTTAGTGCAGAGTTCCTCAACCTTAACACTACTGATGTTTTGGGTAGGGGACTACTTCGTTGTGTGTGTTGGGGCAGGGGAGGGGGCTGCCCTGTGCATATTAGGATGTTTGCAGCATTTCTGGCCTATACCAGACAGATGCCAGTAACGCCTGCTTTCTCCATGCCGTTCCTTGCCCAGTGGTTAAAACCAAAAATGTATCTAGACATTGCCAAATGTATTCTGGGTGGGGTCAAGGGGCAAATTTACCCCTGGTTGAAAACCATGCAATTGGGCTAATCCAATTTTTCCTCCCCACAGATGACAAAACTCAAAGAAGAAATGTTTTGGACTTTGAAAGGTTGAAAGAAAAGTGTGGGACTTACTCGAGGTCATACATTGGAGAAACTAGCACTAGATCCTATTTCTAGTCAAGACTCCTATTCTAGAATTCTCATTATACTACTCAGACATGGTATAGAAAGGTTATTGCTAGTATTGCGTGAACTGACATTGTTAAGTCTTTAGTGATTTTGTACATATTCAGTCATCACAAAAAAATACAAAAAGAAAATGCCAAGTCAGGCAAAAAACTGTTTTCCATGAGAAACTGTTTCTAAATCTTCCTATGATCTGGCTATGGGAACCAAACTAAATTGTGGACTTGCCACCTATAAACTGCTCAGTCTTACTTGGTGAGAGGCAGGATGTTTGGTATGAAAACAAAAAGCCTAGACTTTATTTTTCTATCAGAACAATGATATTAGCCCAGGCTGATTGAAGACACTAAGTCTAGTCTTACAAATTGCCCTAAGATACTTAATGGAACATCATTTGGTTGTAATGAATTTCTGATTTCCATTTTTAGTGAATGAAATTTACATTTCACACACACACAAACACAAAATCGTGGAAGGTGAAAACGAAATTATTTTATGAGGTAATATTTATTAGTGTCCCTCCAGGAGAAAGAAATTTTAATTATTCTACAATATTTAGGCATCCATCTTTCACTCTGGAGACAAAATGCAACTTAAGGCAATACAGCAAATGCTAAGGATTAATTATTAAATATGGCTAAATGTTTTACTGAAATAATGTGCCGTGGGATCAAGCTCCATCTAAAAACATTTCCACTGCCTTACAGCCTTATCTCACTTTGGAATAAGCATGCTGTTTGCAGGTAGTCTTGTAACTTAAACATCTCTTAAGACTGAGATGATCAAGAAATAGCTTTTCATTTTAAGGGAAATGTGTTGGTGAGAACTTTAAATACATTTTTGGCAAGATCACTCCTTCTAAACCCCTGAACAAATAGACTTGACCAAATTCTAATCATGGCCTCTAGGAGCCTAAGGAGGATTCCACCCACCCCTCTTTGAGCTCTGTTAGGAAAAGCTCAGGGTTATCAAAAGAAATTTACTGTTTGTTTCAGCCAACACCTGATGACAGGCTCCTGATCTCTCTCTTTTTAAGAATACTTAACTAAAAACGGCTTTCAATTGTAAATCTTTCCTCTGACCCTTGAAGACGAATGTGTATCTCCTACAACTCAGAGGTGTCTTGAGGACCTGAGTCATTTCTTTGAAATGCAATCATCAGGAAGGATGGGCCTCAGCCTCCTAGTCACTGTGGCAGGGCGGAATCCTAATTTTCCTAAACACCCGCAAGTAGACTCCACTAACTAACTGCATTCGCACTGACCAACCCTTTGTAATCTTTCACTTCTCTGCCTGTACTGAACCCCACGTCTCTTTCATTCCTCATTTTCCCGTTAGAACGCCCAGTCACCTCTGAGCAAACTGAATGGAGCTCAGCTCTTTGGCTTGCTGTCAGTAGTTACTGAATAAAATGTTTTCCCGGCTCTAATGTCCGGCTGTTATTTTGACTTCGGTAGATACATATTAAAAGTCATACCAGTATCAAGGTAGGCCTGTAAATCTTAGAAGCTTGTTTTGCAGGGTGTTATCCTCGAAAAGCGAAGGAAAACTCTCGAAAGTGATCTCTCAAAAACCTCGCCCCCTCTTTCCTTCCCCCAGGGTCCCTGCAACTTTATTCTCTCATGCTACTTCCTACTCTACCTAAATTCCTAACTCTATTTCTCCTTGATTATCCTATCTACTTTCCAGGATATCAAATTTCACCCAGCGGAGGTTTGTGCCCTTCCACTTCTCGAGCCTTTTATCGCCATCTCTGTGCCCAGTCTTCGGGTTTCCTCACCAATGCTCCTTCCTGTTCCCTGACATCTACCTGGCCGCCTCTCTTTCCCAATCACATCTCCACACTCCACTTGGGGCCCTGGCGCCCCTGTCCGCGGGCGGCAGGGGGCGAAGGGAACGAGGGACTCGGGCCCCAACCGAGTCGGCCATTTCGTACATTCGGGGCGCGCCCAGCTGGGCCTCGGCGCTGAGGGGCTGAAGACGGGGCTGCCCCCGCCGCCGGGGCGGGAACTCACCTTCTCTGAGGCAGGGGCGGGCGTCTACAACTACTGTCCCCCACCCCGCCGAGGCCGCCGGCCGGCGGACAGGCCGAGGTGGAGGTGGCGGAGAGGCAGAGACAACCGCTGCCGCCAACACCGCCTCCGCCGCCGAGCAGGCGGGGTGTTGTGGGGGAGGAGGCGGAGACCGAGAGTCCAGAAGGGAAGTTACCACCACCACCCGAGGTTGACGGGACAGCGCCGGCGCCATGGCGGCGAGGCGCGCTACTGCGCCTGCGCTGGTCTTCCGTCGCGTAAAGCCCGGTGGGCCCCGCCTTCCTGTTGCGCCGCCGGATTCGCCCGCCTTTCGCGGGCCCTGCTCTAAGCCGGAGAATTAGATAAAAAGAAAAAAAAATTATCTCCATGTCTTCCATACAATGTGATTAAATTTAAAAAAATAAGTAAGTTATACATGAGTATGTATTTTGTCTTGGATGTTTGTCAGAGAAACTAAATGAAAACCAAAAAAAAAAAAAAAAAAAAAAAAGGCTGGAATTCTTGGCTTCTACCTCCAGAGGATCTGAAAATACACAGTACTTTCTTAGAAAAAAATGCTTTCTCTTCCTTTCCTTTGCTAGGGCTTTTAGTGCACAGGGTAGGTTAAGCGAAATCCTTGGTCATGATATGCTATTGTAGTGACCTCACCTTTAGAAACAATAGGTTAAGGATAAGACATGGTACGTGCTAACCGCCATGTCTCACTTCTAGTTAGTTATCTGCTAAAAATTTATTAACTAAAGGGATTTACTGGCCGGATCACTGCCTATAGGTACAAAATATTTTAACAATGACGCATTCTGCTTCTGTACCCCTGCTTGCTTACCCACCTCTTAGTTATCAGTTAATGAATGGAGGAGATATAGTCTTTTGTGTAAAGATTAATGATGTGGGGGATGGGATCGAGGGCTTAAAACCTTTGTGCCCCTGCATCTCGGGGCTGCTCCTTTGCAAGGACAGCCGCCGGCTAATAAACTGTCTCTTGGATTAAGAGCACTCGAGTTGGGCCTGGTTATTTCATTCACAACAACTGCGAGACTTACACTTTGTATATACGTGGGAGCACGCACTATATTTTGGTTGAAATTTTAGGTAAGATAGCTATGAGGTCATCTGTTGCTTTGATTTTGATCTTACTCTTGGGTTTTTGTTTTTTGATAAGATTGTTTGAGTTGGGCTGTGTTTCATTTGAATGCTTCATAAGAAAACTTTTTCTCTGATGGGCTTTAAAAATTACATTACTCAGTTTTAAAAACGACTTTATTCAGTTTTATATTTAAACATTCGGTTTTTGAAATTACTACTATCTACATTCAGTTTTTACATAGAATCAACTTTCAGGTATATGAGATTCATTAATAAATAATTATATGTGTTTATATAAACATAGGAAATTAGCCATTGTCCTTTTTAGAGTTATGGTTGATTAGTTGGCCATAAGAAGTAACAGAGGTGGCAAAGTTTATGCCAGAAAAAATTAATAAGAGTGAACTTTCAGAAAATTGCTTTTATGTAAATGTATTAGGATAGGCTTAGTGTTAGAAAACAAAGTTTTCAGAAGATATATATCATGGCTTGCACACAATAAAAATGAATGTCTCGTTCATGTGACTGTACTTAGCAGGTAAACAGGCCACACAGTTATTAGGGACCCAGGCTGATGGAGCATCTGCCAAGACCAACTTTGAGGCTCTAAAGACTGCCTTTAGGGTTGACTCTACCTAGTGAGGTGTAAGAGAAGAGCGGCTGGAAGAGCATGCTTGGGTGATTGTATCCATGAGCTGGGCCTCAAAGTGGTGACATCCACTTTCATTCAGAGGTGATGCTGGCTCCAGCACTAGCATAGCTGGCGCATGCTCTGGCCCCGGAGTGGGCCCTTCCTCTGGCTTTGGAGGGTTCTGGAGCTCTGGAGGTGGTACTGGAACAGGAGAGAGACACAGGTTTCACACACATGCATGACTTTTCCGTGCCTTTCCAAAGACAGAAAAGATACCACTGCCTGTGAGGGAGCTCCAGCCCAGGAATCCTCTCTCCCCAGATCATCTTCCCAGGTTGCTGTCCCCTCACCTTCCAGCTGTGCCTCAGGAAGCTCCAGATGTTCCAGCTTGATCCAAGGAAGGAGGACATGGTCCATCAGTTGTGAGGCAGGGGAGTTAACTTGCACAAAGCCCTGCTTCAGCTTGAACCAGAGGAAAAATAGGAGCTGGCCCAAATTCTGCACCTGGTCCGGCCAGATTCCCACCATAGAAGCAATGGCCCTGGGAGGAGGTGGATGGACAGCAGAGTCAGAGTCCTGGTCTTTCCTTCCACACTGCCCTCCCATGGCACCCTTATTTGGTAATGGGCCTCTCTGCCGACCCGTGCCGGTCCAGGGGACAAGCCCCATCCTCCCCCAATCTCTGTGTGGTTGTCCTGGCTGGAACGGGCCTGGTGATTCAGGATGTTCAACATAGAGTCTGTGTGAGTCTCTCCTTCCCACTGTCATTTATCCCCAAAGTCCTGAATACTGCCCACCCTGGGCCTCTGGACTGAGGAATGAGACAGACTTGTGAGCACGCTACTTACCATATCTTCTGTTCTGAGCCTGGTGATGGTGATCGGGAGAGATGGAGGTGGAGGGGCAGGCAGAGCAGGATGAGACTGGTGGGGATGGGACTCTAGGGGAGAACTCAGCCTAGCCCCTCTCTTGCCTAAGTCCCCATTAGCAGTTCTCTTTGACTTTTGTCCTCCTGCAGTGAAAGCCACCAGACCTCAGCCCTCTCTTGGGAATCAGAATATATGTAAGATCAGGTTCTGGCAGGCCATCCCTCTACTCACAGCCTTCATTTGGTAGACATAGGAGGCGGTAGTCCCAAAGACCACTCACTTTTTCACTTGGTCCTGTGGTGTGTCACTCTGGTCAATATATGGGGACATGACTCCAGATGTAGAGACCTTGATGGCATCGGATCTGATGGATGGTAGACAGGACCTGTGAATGATGTCTAGTGTGACTGTCTGACTCACTGACTAGAACTCAAGCCCAGTGATGGTGCCCGCTTCATTCATTGAGTTATGCTAAGAGTCTCCAAAAGTGCCTTGTAATAGGTGCTTCATACATATTGTAGAATAAATGATCTCTAACTGGAATCACCCCAGACATCTGAGTGGGCCTGAGGCCCCCTGCTGTCCCCAGAGATCTCTCATCAGACTACACCAAGGACTGGCTAGGTAGAATCTCAAATCCCTTGCTAGGTTGTTTTCCATGTGCTTTTCCAAACTCAGAAATGACACAGAACACAGATGGGTGAAGGCGACATTTCATAGGGGAGAAAGAAATCATTTCCATCCAGGTAGACCTGGGCACCAGGTAAGCACCTGCTATAGCTTGCCCGTACGGTAGTCCCTACAAGACCCCTATGAGGTTTCTCCTCTACCACTACACTTTTCAGGGAACAAACTGAGTCAGTGATGCAGTGACATTTTCAAGATACTCAATTAGTAGTGGGCAGAGACACCACTGTGCTGAAGACATAGTGGGCGCTCACCTAGTAAACAGTTGGTCCAGGACCTGTTGGGCTATGGAGAAGGCCGGGTGGATGAACATGAAGGTGGAGATGTGGGAGATGTTTCCACCCAAGACAGCTGGTACCACGGACTCCACCACCTTCTTCAGTGTGCCTTCCTGGAGGGCCCGCATCCCCCAGGCCTCGTTTAGGTTAAGAGTTAACTCATCTTCACACTGGGTAGAATGAGGAGGATATCCAGTCAGTGACATCACCATAAATCTCAAAAAGGACTGAGGTCTGGAGCTCAACCAGAAACTCCCAGTCCCTCAGGGACATGTACGAGAGGAGGGACAGGAATGCCCACACTGAACAAGGTCCCAGGTTTTTAGAGTACCATTTATGGTTGTTGGTGGTGGTGGGGGGGTATGTTTATACAATTATTACCTTCTGGGCATTTTTGTAGCTGAGGAATAACAGACCTCCTAGTATTAGTGCCCTGTATTAAGAGCACTGTCCCAGCGAGTCCTCAAGAAACATCCCTGTCATAGAGATGAGCACACAGAGGCTTGAGGATGTCAAATGGTTGCACAAAGTCATCCAGGTCAGATGTGAGAACTGTCCAAAGCTAGAGCTGCATGACATTTCCTCTTAGCTACCTGAGACTTATCTGCTCCCGACGTGGAGTGAGAGTGTCCGGGGACCATGTCCCCCCTCAATTTGGAAACACTGTGCAGGATAGACACAGCCTATGAAAATCAATGTTTTCAAGAGACTGATCTCTTTTCTTTTCTCAGATTCCGCAAAGGGGACAATGCCCAGAGATTCCAGACTGGAGAAAGCCAATCACCAGGCAGAAATCTGAGGAGAGGATGAGGGAAGAAGCAAATCCACATGGCTGGTGAAAAGCTGACAGGTAACTCAAAGTACCCACGAGGCAATTGAATTGCAAATTTTCACTGGACAACCTGACAACAGACTGATAAACAATTTTTTAAATGAGAAATCCCTGGGTCAGGCTGGATGCAAGGATGCAGCTGTTAAGTTAAAGTGACATTGCCACAGTGGGAGATGCTCACTAGATTCAATTTGGAATCTGGTTACAGCTGTTCAAAATTTAAAGATGCATGTCCTTCTACTAGCAGTCCCATTACTGGGCATCTATCTCCGTGGTATAAGTAGACATTGTGGGCTGAATTGTATCACTCAAATAACATGACTTTGTGAACCCTAAAACTTGAGAACCTGCCGTAAGGTTAATTGAGTTCATTGGAGTGGGTCCTAATCCAATATGACTGGAGTCCTTAGGAGAATAGGACACATGGAAGCACAAAGGAAAGTCCATGTGACACAGAGATAGAAGATGGACATCTACAAGCTGAGGAGAGAGAATATTCACGAGAAACCTACCCTGTTAATACCCTCATTTCTCTACCTTCTAGTCTCCGGGATTGTGAGAAAATAAATGTCTTCTGTTTGCACCACCCAACATAGTCCTATGTTATGGCAGCCCAAGCAAACTAATAAAGTCCATTAGGACACACTTAAGTGTTCTCAGCAGCACTGCTGAGATGGCAACTGAATTGAATTACGCCCTGGTCCAACAGAACTGAAAGGCGCTTGCTGTGGCAGAGTGCCTCCCTTATGAAATATTCTGAACACAAGAGAAGCCACAATTCCTCAACTCACAGGTCCACATATTCTGTGTGATGGTAAGTAGCAGAGAAATGTATAGAATGACTTAATCGCATCCTCCCCCTTCTATGTACAAACCATGGTCATAAGTGGATGATGTAAGGCTTGGGGGAGGTCTGCAAGGACAGTGAAGCTGACTACTCCACAGGAGACCTGGGGCAGGGAGTGAAAACCACATAACAGCCAAATGCAAAAGTGCTCATGTCTACTGTGAAGTGAAACAACACATATTCTTGTCTCTGATATCCCTATAAATATGTGAGGAGTGTTTTTCTCCCCTTCATGGAGCTGGTGGGAGAAGGGGAGATTCAGATTCCCTTGTGCACAAGAGTATGAGACGTTCTAGTGGGAAAGCCCCAGGAGGGGCCCAAGGGAGTCCCCCAATTTGAGTCTGGGATCTGGGTCCTCCTTGGTCATCTTAGAGTCCTGGGTGTGGAGACCCCTCTGGGTCAGGTCTCACCTCAGTCCAGGCCTGGATAGTGTCAGGGGCCTGGTGCACCTGCACCTTGACGCAGTAGATGGAGTAGTGGGACTCGTGGACCAGCTCTTCGACGATATCCTGTGCAAAGCTCTACAAAGATGGAGCCCGGTGCCGGGCCAGGGGCATCAGGAAACATCCACCCAACCCTTGCTCCCATGTTATGGCAGCCCTAGCAAACAAATGCAGTCTATCAGGACACACTAAAGAGCTACCTGCAGCACAGTTGAGATGGCAGCGGACTTGGATCCTGTCAAGGCCCAATAGCACTGAAAGGCTGACTCACTGAGGAAAATGACCTTTATGGGATATTATAGGCATGAATAAGGCCATAATGCCTCATCTGGCTGGCCTACAAAGGTTTACTGTGCTCTATGAGATGACACATTGCAGAGAAACGTATGCAATAACTTAATCCCTTTCCATTTTTTGTACAAACCATCAAATCAAGTGTGACGATGTATAAGGCTTGGAAGAGGTCTACAAGGACAATAGAGCTGACTGCTCCACGGGAGACCTGGGAAAGGTAATTATAATCATCCAAACTTGCCAAGTACAAAGACAGTATAAGTGCTTGTTTCTATATTCCAGTGAATATGAAGAGTTTATTTCCACTTCACCATGAAGCTGGTGGGGGAGAGTAAAGGTCCAGATTCCTTTGGCAGTGGGCCTGTGGAATGCTCCTATGGAGAAGCCCTGGAAGGGCCCCAGGGGAGTCACCAAACTGAAGTCTGGGTTCTGGCCCCACCCCACCTATCTCGAGGTCCCGTATGGAGACTCGTGTGGGCCATCTCTCACCTCAGTGCGGCGCTGGATTTCCCGCCATACCCGCGCCTCGTACCGGGCGATGGCGTTGGCGAAGTCATCATCCAGCTCCTCTCCTCCTCTATGTGGGGTACGGATGGAGCTCTATAGAGAGAGAGCCCGGTACCGGGCAGGGAGGCATCAGGGGTCTGCCTGGGATTGTCACTGGAGGAGACGAGACCCACTAACTCTGCTTCACAGATCATGCCCAGAGGGGCATCTACAAAGACCTCCAGCCAGGGAAGTAACAAGATGACACCCTGGGGGCTGAGGGTTAACAAGTGAATGAAGGAGCTTGGTCCCCAGCACTCCCCTTCCCAGCCTTCCAGCCATGACCTAGGGTATGAACTTGACAGTTCTGCCAGGCTTTTGACAACTAACAACCTGCATCAACACATGGCGTGCAGCCCTCATCCCAAGCTTCCCCTTGCCACCCCCAACACACACACACACACACACACACACACACACACACACAATGAGGGATCAGGTGTGTGGGGTTGTGCGCGCGGGTTCACAGTTGAGGCG